CAGCGCAGCAGTTATCTGAGGCCAGAGAAGGGCACACGGGTATGGAGGGGCATCAAAAGGATGCAGTTCTCTGGTGAAAGATGGACTCGACAGATCTGACAGATCTGACAGGTACGGTACAGCAGCATACAGCAGCTATGAAATAGCTCACCATAGTTCTTTTTGTCGTTGACAGCAAGATGCAACTTTAGTAGATAATCAGATAAACAGTTGATTGCAAAGCAACCGAGGCTCGCAAATTCGGGAAACTGGCACGAAATCCTCCAGCCAGATCATGAATCATGTAGCTCATTGAGTAATTACCACCAAAAGTCTCTTGTTCAAAGAAGCAGTTGCTCACCGTCTTCATACTATGCATGAAGGTATGCATGAGCACTCATTCCTGCTTCATGAAGTTTCTCTCTGTATCTGTGCATGGGTGCCAAAGGTTGTCTTTTAGTGTCTGCCTATACATTTGTGGCCTCCCTTGCTGCGTGTCTGTGTCTGGGCTGTGCAGCCGGTGTCACCCGACAGCTCTTCAGTCTGTATCGACTTCTGTGAGGGCACAGTGTGCAATGCCTTATGCAGAGCACACTAGACATTGACCGCACAAAGTGGTCTGCTGGAAATGAATCCCGGATCCATTCAAAAACAAGATCTTAGTTACAATATGTTACAAAGAAGACCCTTGTAGTTGTACGTCGTTGTATTGCATCCCCTCAGTCAACCTCCGATGCCCTCTGAAGAGGACGAGGGGATAGTATCCAAACAAAATCGGAAAACCATTGGAAAATCCAATAAAATGCCCAGTCCCCCTCTGCCTGTCTCCTTCAAGACCGAAAAACATGAACCTTCTGCGTCCAGAATCCATATCAGTGACTTGCAACAGCGCGTCCGTTGAACTGTTACTCTTGCAAGCCAGGCAGTCCCAATGCCATTAAAGGTAAAAGGTAAAAGTTTTGCATCGTTCCAAATGTTCCACACACACACACACACTTGTAACACATCTATACATTATATAAATTATATAAATATATATATATATATATGTTCGCGACATGTGCCTATGTGTGCCAGTGCTGGTCCTTGCTGGAACCGGAACTTCGCTTATTCCTCGTGTCCAATGTGCTTCTAATTAGTTTCACAACGTTCGCACTATTCAAACATACAATAAGTTCTTGATCGATCTTACATCAGAAATGCAAAGGACACTACTCACTCTTTACCACCTATCTGTGACTGTGATAAACTGGTGTATGATGACGGTTTATAGATTTCCCTTAAAATTAGAGAATGTAACTGATGCACCATATTCCTTTTGAATGTTCGGTGTCAGAGAAAGCAATCAATGAATGAGAGTCCTGTTTTCTGCTACTTGTGGTTCTTGTGCGTTCTTGTGCGTTCTTCTCCTCGATTATCACTTTTCTGCACCACACGTTTCGCCCAATGGCCTTTGGGGCCCCACATCACACCTCAGCCAATGAGAGGCCAATGAACAACATAGCAGTGCCAGGTATTCAACAAATGAGAGGCGGTGATAATATGGTATAATATGGTATAATCATATGACAAGGAACTTGCTCCAATATGCTGAAGAATGTAGTCTGCGCATGTCTGCGCAGCATGTTTCCCAGCAGCCAAACCGGTTGATCGCACCATATTTTAAAAGACGTCAATTCTATTTTCAGTCTGGATATTGACGTTTCGGGCGTCTATCCAAGCCTCAGTTGGAAGGCGGCTGAAATAAATGCGGCCAAAACATATCGCTGCACGTGGGGCAAAGTGTTGCACTCTCTGTGACAATTTCCCCTCAACGTGAAGAAGCTGTCCATTGTCGGCAGCAAATCAGTGATGGGCCAATGTGTCTTCCGCCAAAAAAGGTCAAACTGTGTCGGAACCAGGAAATAGATGTTAATATTGTACACGCATACGATATTTAGATATCACATGATATCACCCTCACTATACTCACCACTTATCCAAAGGTGAGTATATCAGGTGATAATGGACAGTGCCGAACATTTTGGGTAAGGAAGACAATGAGCTCCAACTCTTCCAGGATATTCCGGGGTACAGCCTAGCGTTCCGGAGTTCTACTACAGGCTCTTTCCTGTGCTGGGCTGTGCTGGGCAAAATTATGAAAAAGCCATCCAGAAATGGCGCAGAGTTGGGACATAGGAAGATATTTGGCCGCTCAAGAGTCTTTCTTGCTGTACTGTATTTGAAGTGATACCTTCCAGCTCCCTGACTCTGCTGGTTCAAACTCTGTACAGAAACGTGTCTTTTGTCATGAGCATTCTGCTTGTTGCAGGAAATGCTGAAAAAAGATGAAAAAAGTGCCAAAAATCACCGTCAATGACATGGCAACCTCCTCAAAGAAGGGAATACTATTCGACTCTTCACAAAGATCCACCATAGGTGCTTGGGAGCCCCAAAAAGACCCACAAATGTTATCAATTCAACACACATGTGTTGTTTGAGTGGTATATGTGATGCCCATTTGATCTTGATGGCCCAGTAGTGAAGTTTGAGATGCCTTACAGCAACGGGTCCCCCGGTTTTGACACTCGAATCCCCATCTGTAGGCTGAGGGGAGCCGTACTGAAGCACTTTAGCAGGTGTTGTAGTACTGAACGAGCCAAAGAATTGCCAAAATTTGGGATATGAATGATAATGATATATGAATATCTAAAAAAACATTGCAATGGAACCTTTCAGTTCAGGAAGAACATGGAAGAACAAGTGCCGAAAGCCTATTTGGACACTAAGGTATCGATCAAATGTGCTGGCTAGTCTTTGCACACTCCTTTGAAAATTGGCAGAACATCCACGGTCGCAAAGAACTCACAATTGCCATTTCAATGAATTCAGAGAATTCGAGTGGATCTTGGGACGGCTATACTGAAACAGGCCGGTTCCTACATCTGCTCAGCTTTCGTCAGAGCATCCGGCCGTAGACCCTGGCTCCATCCGCAAGGGTCTACTCAACTTCGCAGGAGGTTGGCACAGAGTTCAATATCATAGTATAAATACAATAGACTAGTAGATTATCAGATTATGATCATCAGATTATCATAAAATAATACAGTATATATCAATATATTATCTCGAACTTCTGCCGAAATTACATTTCAGCACAGGAATCGCCGAATTCTAAAAAAATTGCCGAAAACAGAAAAAAATGCCGACAATTTTCAATTCTGCCGAAATAGGGTTTTAATGGGCTGTGATGGGCTGTGTATATTTGTAACCAAAGCTGAGTCCAGGAAATTCCGCCGAAATTGCGGGCAATTCCGCCGAAATCTGCCGACATGTTTTCTGACTTTACTAGGGCAAACATTCAACAATCAATTCCGCCGAAATTGGTCTCCAATGATGGAATTCCGCCGAAAGCCGTTTTTAAGAGCGAAATCTGAAAATTCTGCCGAAATCCTAAATCGGCAAAAAAAACCATACATTTGGAGTTCTCAGGTATATATCAGTTTCTCATAGTTTCTCAATTTGATCTGCTTCATGTGCATAGATTACGTAGAAACATCCTTGAAGATCCCAGGTGTCTGCACCTGCAGCCGGCTAGGTCAACCTGTTGCCAGCGGTTGGTTCATAGGATTTCCCGTGTTGGATTGTGATGATTGTGATAGTCCCCCAATATGTTGGGATAACTCCCTCTAATCATCAACCCACTGGGGTCCTGTCCACACTATTCCTAAGCTGGCAAAGGGGGATACTTCTTGGGGGCTTTCTTGCGGGGGTTCCACTCCAGAAAATACATTGAGAAAACTAAAACAATGCATATCCAATCCGAAGGAATTTCTGTGGGATGCGTTTGGTATTTGTTGGGTTTAACGGTTTAACTCCCCATTTTGTGGATGATTATCGGATTTTGTTGGGTTGTGTCTGGACTTTTGCGGAATTATGTTGGGATTGTATTGGGGTTCTTCTGGATTTTTATTGGGATTTCTTTGGGATTTGGATGCTTTTTCAACTGATTGACTCCATTGTTTGGGATTCCTGTGCGAATCTCAATTCTTCACGAGGAATTTACAGGTATCCGCTGTGAATTCCTAGCATTCAAGGGTAAATTCTAGCTTGTATTGGGAACAAGATGTGGTAATCGTGGGAAGCACCCAATTAGAAACATCCTTTACAACAATACATAGCCTTATTATATGAGACTTATGAGCTACGCTCAGCATGCGTGTCGCATGCAAATATGCAACTATTCAACGCTACTGTGAAGCGTCACGTTGACACATTTTGCACATCCGCAGCCATCCTAAAAAAGGATATGCAAGCTGTTGTGTTTCACATTTTCACGGAGTAATACAGAGTATGCCAGAGCAAGAAGCAAGACTTGGAGTCATTACTATGGGAAGCAAAGTATCCACGAGAAAACATGTTTGGTAAGCTTGGATTCTGTAAAGATCCGTACTCCCAGCATCACCATGAATCAAAGATGAAGAACATAGCAATGTGCTGCCAAGGCAGTTTCTATAGAGTATAATTTTTGCGACCCTCCGACATATTCCAAACTGCCAGCAAAAGAGTGTCTTGACAGCAGTGGAAACAGTTTCCTCGTAGAGAAGGCACATGAATGCTAAATATACGTACATATTTAAAGACTTTTTAAAGTTTTAAAAATGTTTGAAGCATATCGAGTTGCATTGTGGAGGTATGACTTCGCCGTGGCTGTGAACAAGCTTGCAGTAACATGAAATTTTGACAGTAGGCCTCAGGGAAGGAAAAGACCCACTGAAGTGGCCTGATTGTAGTCATGGCTCTTGATTTAGGTCATTTTAGGCCACATATTGTGCATGTAATGACACGGATCAGAAATAATAAAAAACATAGAAATATAATAGCAAGAGGAACTGGCAAAAAATGAGGAGCGGCGAAAATCACAGCAGGAAGCAAATTGAAGGAGAAGCAGAAGAAATATTCTTGCGATTTCTTGCGTGTCGAGAAAAAGAACATTTGATGGAGCGTCAGCACTCACATGCCGTCCCACTTCCAGCCTGCGGTCATACTGCAGTGTCAGAAGCCACAAGCTCTCCACCTGTGGAAGGTTCAAGGCATTTCAAGCTTAAATGCGTTAAAATCGTTACAAAATTGCAACAAAGTTGAAGCCACTTTGAAGTCTCAGCTTCGACCTGTGTATTCTTGGGCTAAAGTCTGGCAACTTAAGGAGGAGTCAGACTGTCGTTTCATGTCATTTCAAGATGTTTGAAGTCTGGGTACCAGGAAGTAGTGACCTTGAATACACGAAGCCAAGTTTTAGCCCACTTCTTGGTATCCCTACTTACTCTCCGGGGGTTCCAACCCGGAGAGAACCTCTGATAAAAATGCCGTCAAGCTGCGGCACAGAGGGCAACTGCCGACCCGAGAAAGCCAGGACTCTGAACAACACTGGTGAAAAGCATGACCACCTGCAGAGTCCAGAGTCCAGAGACCAAAGTTGGAGGAGCCTGACTGAAAACTGAAAACTCTATTAATTCACATTGTCAAGTTACAGTAGATTAATGTTCACTCGGAGCACATTGCTAAAGTGATCTTCATATTGCAAGTGAAATGATATGATGTTGCAACCCTTTCAGCCAGCATCCACGAAAAATGGACAGCTGAGAAAAATGAGTTGATATACCACGATGAAGATTTCAATTCAATCAGAACTGGATCCGATGAGTTACGTGGTATGAGTTCACACAATTGCAACATGTGGTGCTCTATTGAAATCAAACAAAGATGAATCCAAATCTGTTGCAAGAAAGCATGGCTGCCATGACTGATCTGTGAAAATCACATCTTAAGTTGGGAATCATGGCAAATATGCATTTGGCTCATTGAACCTTCCCGCATGTAGCAAGTCACATAATTCTACCTGACCTAGTGTCTTGCATCAACATGTGTCTCACTCCACTTTGTTTGCTTGAGCAAAGCTTGATGAACACAAAGACTTTAAAAACAAGCAAACAAATCAAACAAAAAATGACAATTGGTATTAAACGGCAAATATTTTTGGGTGTCTAACAATCCGTTGTCACTGGTGGATGACAGGAACACGTCATAGGTCAATCAAACCAATATGCTCTGCATCTGAGAACAGTCCTGAAACCTACAGTAAATCAACAATTGTCCCGTACGGCCCCACAGCGTACAAGGGAGACGTCGCAGCATTGCTGACTCCTGCAGCGGCAAGTGATCTTGAGGCGTCTACTAGAATCAAACATCACAACGATGGAAAAAATTAGGTTTCTTCTTAGATCCTCCTTTTCAATGACTCGATCGATGCAGAGCTAGTTCAACTCCCTCACCTGCCGCGCTCAAGCTGAGTTCGCAAAGGGAAATGCTACCGTATTACCCTACAAGGCAGTCATAGAGTCATAGAGCCTTTGCAAATTGAAATGACAATGTATGCCCTGCTCAAAAGGTCTGCAAAATGCAGGATCAAAGGCCATACAATAATAACTTTAAGAGCTTTCAGGGCCTTGCCTGCATTTGCTACTCACTAAGACTTAATTTCTAACCTGATTCTGTTCATTGACCCAAATGCCCGAATGTGAGAAAAGGTCAACGCCTTGTGCCCGTTCCATGCATTTTACCCATTTCGCCCAGCAGTGAAACATACATTTTTCATATCCAGCTGTTATCAGTGCAGCTCCTCAAAGTCGCTTAGGCAAATGGAGCAGGTTGTTGAATGGCTACAGCCTCAGGTCCAGGATGGATAGCTTCCAAGTCAAACACTCAAACACAAAATTAGACATTGACTATACATATTATATATTATATATAAGTTCATATCATATAAGTACACAAGATTACCTCGTTCTTTTTCAAGAACCTGTACACCAATGTGTATATAATATGTTGACAATCTTCTCAAACAAGTCTACCAGTCTCTCTTATGGTGCCATCAGCGATGATGCGACAGAACATACTGGCTCTATGCCGTAGGTCATCAAGCAATGTGAGTTCCGGCAACAAAACATAAAAATTATTGCAGTCAGTGGCTAGTGCCGCACCTGTCAAATTCTCATGCTTCTTCTTTGTAAAGACTTCCAGCTCAGTTTGCTTGAGAACCTGCGCTCCCAATTACCAGAAACAATCTCACAGCTAGCCCACAAAAAAACACTCTGACTTAAACCCATCAAAGTGAATTTGGAGAGCACACAAGTATCGATCTCTGCCTCCCTGTGTTTTGAGCATGCATGTCTATTACTCATAATCTTGCTGCGTCTCTAAGCAGCTTCTCGCTACCTGTTCGATCTATCTGGAAGCTAAGCTAATTATGATGCCGGTCACAGTCAAGCAACCAGCAACATACTTGCCTCTTTACCCTAAAACGTTGACAATCAACAGAAATCCTGTTGCAAACCCAAAAAGTTTATATACTTCCTGTGGCGGAGGATGCACCTTCTTTAGTCTCTGTTTTTCGTCGAAGCTCAATCCCGCAAGTCGACAAGTTTCAAGAAACATAATCGAAATGCTCAATTCTGATTCTGATTTTGTCCTTCGCATCAAACACAATGTGAATCCAAACAAGTTGAAAAATCCCTCCGTGGAGTCAAGCAACTCTGAAGGAGTTCAAAAAGGTTCAAAGGAACAACTCCAAATCACCATAATATAGGTTCGTCCACGAAAGGATGATACCGAATGATACCCCAAAATGATCGGAATTGGCACTCTTCTACATTTCTAATGGGGAAAATGATAATAAATAATAAACCATGGGTTTTGGGGTACTCGAGTTTAGACAAACCTACTTATCACTCTCTCCTGTTGTTGGTCAGAATCAATAGCTACGCACCGCAATAAACGTCAAGCCTGGTATTAAAAGGGACGGTAGACGAAAAATAGTGTAGGCGAAAAAGCCACCAAGCGCTGACAAGCAAAGCAAACCTTAGTCCCAAAAATGGCACATCAGTTGCAACTGCAGATGCGCAAGTAAGGTAATGCAACTTACTGAAATTATCGATCTTGGAATTTGTATGAATTCGTCCGTGCCTGCTTCGAAAAGAAAGATTCATAAGAGACCGCACTCAGACTGGATAGCTCTGTGGCATCATTGTGGCATCTGCATGTTGGGCACAGCAAATTCGTCAGCTGCACTGCCACCAAAGAGCTAATGAGGGACGGAATTAGCAATTCCAGCATCGCCTGCGACCGTAGGCAAGTCCATGTTCACTCCAGCTAGAATGTGTTTGAATGAATTCGTGCAGGTTGGTGGATGTGGGGGAAATGCGTACAGTGCAACAGAATGGGCTACTATATATAATAATATATATATACACAGTATACGACGGAGATATTTTAAGAATGTTATTGTCTGATGTGTGTTTTACAAAGTGGCAAAACGTAGAATATGGACGATACGTCATGTCCATGTCATGTCCTTTCTGGTCCAATAGTCAAACTCACCTAGAAAATCGGAAGGGCCATTCAGCACTGGTTTGGGTTAACCCAAACTTTGGAAAGGGGGGTCGGATCTACCATTCGTTATTTGGAACCCTTCCAGCGAAGAAATAACCTGTCGCTCCTGTCGCTCCTCAGAATCCAATTGTTGACAAATGGCAACGATATATTCTCAGAATGAAATAGAATAAATATATTCTCAGGATGACAATGGTCATGATCAACGAATAAATGAATAAATGAATGGATGATGAATGCATGGATGTATGGACGGATTGACGAAGAGACAGATGAACAGATGGACAAATGATGATGATTCCAGTGGAAAATCATCATTGTTGAATACAATCGTTACAATCAGCCGTAACTTAATTATGTTCTCAAAAACATCAACAAGAAATCTTTCGTGTTTGGTATGCTGTTTTGGTACGTCCACTCACTTGAGCCGACCTCGCAAGCCTCGCACGACATCGGGAGGAAAAAAATGATGCGGAAATGTGGAAAGAATCTGCGGAATGTTGGACAAATCTTGATTAAAGGTGAGGCTTGTTCGTGGCTGTCATGCTAATATGTTCTGTGTATTTCTGTGTTGTCTATAGTACCTATAAAATCCTATAAATAATTATATCTACAGAATCCTACAGAATATATACAGTAATATGATGTAATATGTGTGACTGCATCGCATAGCACAGCATCACCGCATTGAAGTGAAGTGTTCATGGCACCATGGAATCATCATGGAAACTGTTTGATTCAATACTCCAGATTTGAGCATCCAAGGTGCGTGCCCCGGTGCAACGGTGGCAAAGGTTTCATGTATATGTTCACATGTGAAACGCCCCAGCCTCAAGTGTTCATAATGTGTTCGATATCTCGGGGAGTTAGTTTTTCAGTGACAAATCGATGGAGGGTTGAAGTTGCGCCCTCAACCCAACGCCATCAAAGGCTTCCCGGACGTACCTTCGAAGTGCTCACGGACAATTTTCAGCTGAAATGGCTCAACCCACAGTCTTGGGAGCATAGATGGGTGTGTCTGAAAATAGTGTACCCCTAAACCCAATGGTTAATGATCATTATCCCTATTAAATGGCTATTTGTTTGGGAATATACCCTATTTTCAGACAAACCCAGATCTTCCAATTGTAATCGTTCCACCGGTTGACACGGGCACACAAATTTTCATCCACGGGACTTGGCAAATGTTCCGTTTGGGAAATCATGTTGGAAATTCTAGACACCACCTGATTCGAGGGTTGTTGGTATCGTTATTCCGAAAAATTTCCCTTTCATGGGTCGTTGGGCGATGTTTATCTGGGATTGGTATCACCACTCCTGCAGCATTGTCTGTTTTACCAAACAATTTGAATCACTCTTACTGGCTCTTACTGCCATTGAGCATCAATATAGCAATCTTCCAATCCACCAAAACATGCTAAATTGATGTTGAATCAAACATTTTGTTTAATGGTTGCAACAAATTGCAACATACTGCGAAATGAATCAATCAATGTCCATAGTCTCCTGTCCTGTTTTGCGGTGGGTCCTCCACGACCTGGAAAATTAGGTCCCCAGACGCAAAATTGGCACTCGGGCTTCATCGATGAGCTCCTGTGCTCGGCATGTTTGAATGTGAAAGAAACATGTTGTGTGTGTGTGCAATCTGCATGGTATATGGCATATATGATATATATGGATATGTGATGATACAAACAAATTCTGTAAAAAAATGGAAAAGGATGCAAAAGGCTGCAAAAGGCATCTTGGATGTATGCAATGCCTCAGATTTTGGACAGTCTAAAATGTAGGATTTTTTGAATGCGTTAAGCCTAGGTTTTGCTGATGGAGAGACATTTCCTTGTTTTGCTCAAGAGCGTGTGGAACTTGAAGAGAAAGTTACAAAAAAGATCGTAGCATCAATGGCGTGCGCAAGTTAATATAAACGCTAATGCCCCCTCCCACTCCAGCCACCCCACCCCATGACCTAGTGTAAGACATCTCTCTAGCGTAGCGTCAATGGCGTGCACAGTTCAGTAACATGAAGGCTAATACCCCGCCCCAACGTACGACATCTCTAGCGTAGCATCAATGGCGTGCGCAAGTCAATATGTATGGTAATACGCAACCTTGCACCACCCCAATATGCGAACATGATCAAACATGTTAATCTTCCAGGGCCGCTATCGGGGGCGTGAGCTAACTTTCTCAAGTAATTTTCACACGTCATTAATCCTTCTTGATTTTCTCAAGTAACTTCCACACGCCATATTGATGCTACGCTCTTAATTCTCAAGTAACTTCGACACGCCATTGATGCTACGCTCTTAAATTATTCCAGTGCCCTGCACCTGCTCTCGATGCTACGCTCTTAACTTTCTCAAGTAACTTCCACACACATCAATGCCAAAAAAGACCAACTCCAGTTGGGAAAAGTCAGCTTCCAAAGGCCTTGGTGTACGATATTAAGTCCATGTAACAAATGTGTTTTGTGAATCTGGGGTCCCAAAATACAACACTGTCTAACGAGTGGACTTACGGTTTCAGGAATATAAGGTGCTGTAGTTAACAGGAAAAAATAAATCATGATGGCAAAATGCACAAATTCACGAAATCACGCCAATGCGCACATTTGGCTGATGAAAAAAAAAAAAACAGTGGCTGCAAACAGCGAGGCCGTTTTTGGGGGCGTGACCTATTTTATCTCATATCTCAAAGGTCCACTTCATCCCATGCTTGTGTCTGAGGATATCTCAAGGACCTGACTCTAATTGTGGTCACTCCCTTGCTACGATTGTGAATCTTTTCTCCATGTTGTTCACCTCGTTCCGCATGTTCCGCAGTTAAATTCAATCTGCCCACACCTCTCTGATCAAAATGGCCTTCGTTTCGGCCATCGTGGCTAATCCTAAAGTGCTTTCTGTACATGCCGATGCTTCCTACGCGTTCCGCAAAAGAGCCACGTCAAAGTTATCAACGGTGGACGAATGAAATTCAACCATTAATCCCAACTAGTTCACACAGAGTATGTCATTACAACTTGGATACAATCACCAATGGCATGATGTCAACAAAGATTGCTGTAAGGTGTGGAACATATCGCACACAACCAGTCGTGTCACCAAAGTTGCACACGATTATCTCAACAGCTTCGCAATGCTGGGTCACAAGGGCTCTTGGTGCAGCGGATGCAACCGGCTCTCAGTGGTTCCAACATGTTCCAACCCCCCTGTTCAGCACCAGCGCGTTCAAATTGAGAACTTGTTGGGATCCACACAGGGACACTTTCGGTTCTGTTTAAGATTGTCTAAGCTTTCATCTTCTGTTTCGGTCGTGATATTTCCTGGTTAGAAAGAAACGCCAGAGCCACACTGAATGGCTTCTCTCTCTGTGTTGGTTGTGTTTCTCAGTTGGCTGAAGTGCATGCAAGCTGGGCAAAAAAATCTGAGGGCAGCACCAGGACCATACCAATGCATTTCCCCAATTGCAATGGTTTCCCCTGCATCACCAAAAAGTCCTGTGGTCTGCATGTCTGAAAACTTGTGCTTCCACATTGAATGTTTTCCGAACCAAAACTGGGGGTCTCAAGACTTCCATTCAGAGCTGTCTTTTGCTGATCAGAAGGCACGTATGGTTTAATAGAAGGCTGATCCCGGAAATAAGAAATGTCGCATAGATGGGAAAAAATATCAAATATATATAATTTACATGTTAGATTGCTCTGGGTCAGCGGTTTCATGCTGTGTGACTGTGTGCAATCACGTTTCAAAAATCGCGAACCCAAAACTTTGCAAACCTTAGCTGGCCTTGATTGTCAGGACCGTCTTGGCAAGAAAGAAGATCTGGAATCCGCAACGGCCTCATCAAAAGAAGTTGGATCCGATCATGCGCAAGTACCGAAGCCAAGCTTTTGAGAAAGTTTCTCCAAAGACCCAATCCACTCCAGGAGTCGGTGGCCAAGTGCATGAGTTCAAGCATTCAAAGTGAAGGCGGCTTCTTCATGCTTCTAGACATCATATCCTGCTGAGCCTGTGTTGTCTGTCCGAGTCACTCACCATTCTCTTCTCCCCCTGCTGCATTGATTTCTATGGGGCAAGCGAGTGTTTGATGTGTTTGGCAGCCTTGTGCAGCCTTGTGCAGTCTTAGACTTGCATAACATGCTGATTTTCCTGCAGGCAGCACGAAATGCACAGGCTCTGGAACCTGGTCGAAAGAACATCGAATTTGCTGTACAAGTTGCTTGCACTTAAAACATCTTGAAACAGGATTGGAAGCGCAGGCCTGCATAGCTTGCACCAAAAAGGATTGGAGGCACAGTGGCTAGGCAAAGTCCTACGGATATCGAATTATCTATGCATCGAACAAATTCTCATTGCATGACATTGAGCTCAACATTGAGGTCAACAAGGGCCGGGCTAGTTGGTGTCCACCTTAGTCTCTGGTTGCTGCACTGCGCTAGTGAGAAGTGTCGGCAAAGGGGCAGATCTGGGAGATTGGGTGGATCGAGATGAGGAGTCTCTTGAAGTCAAATTCTTCACCAAGGTCTTGAAAGTGCTCTCGTAGTGAAGATGGGAAGCCTCCAAAGCACTGCAAATCGTATCCCGCACGAAGCTGTTCATAGTATCGAAACCTCCTGGCATATTCTCAATGAGTGAATGAATCATCAGCCGATCTTTTTCGTCAGTTGCTTTGGCACTGCGGGTATCCAGCTCTGCAACTGTTTTGGCCAACGCCACAGCGACATC